GTCACTTAACAAAATGCTTTTGAGATCCATCCAAGTTGTAGTGTGCACCAATAGTTAGTTTCTTTTTACTGTGAAGTAGTACTCCTTTGTAAGGATGTATGCGATTTGTTTACCCATTAGCCAGGTGATGGATATATGGATTGATTTCCATTTTGGCTATTATGAGTAAAGCTTTTGTGAACATTTGCGTACAAGTCTTTACATGGACATGTGTTTTTATTTATTTTGTGTGAATACCTAGGAGTGCAGTGGCTGAGTTCCACTGTAGGTATGTATTTCACTTTATAGGAAGTTGCCAAAATGTTTCCAGAGTAGTTGTAATGTTTTGCATTCCCACCAGCAGCGATTTCTGGTTGTTCCGCATGCTGCCCAATGCTTGGTCTTGCCAGTCTTACTCATTTGAGCCATTCTAGTGGGTGTGTGGTGGTATCTCAGTGTGGTCTTGATTTGCATTTCTCAAGTCTTTTTCATGTGTTTATTTGCCATTCATGGTAGCCTCTTTGGTGAAGTGTCTATTCAATTTTTTTGCTCATTTATTAAACTGGATTCTGTTTTCCTACTATTGAATTATAAGATGTCTTTGTAAATTCTGTTTAAAAGGCTGAGTGTGGTGGCTCACACCTGTAATCCTAGCACTCTGGGAAGCTGAAGCAGGAGAATGGCTCAAGGTCAGGAGTTCAAAACAAGCCTGACCAAGAGTGAGACTCCGTCTTTGCTAAAAATAGAAAGAAATTAGCAGGACAACTAAAAATATATAGGAAAAAATTATCCAGGCATGGTGGTGCATGCCTGTAGTCCCAGCTACTCGGGAGGCTGAGGCAGTAGGATCGCTTGAGCCCAGGAGTTTGAGGCTGCTGTGAGCTAGGCTGACGCCACGGCACTCTAGCCAGGGCAACAGAGTGAGATTCTGTCTCAAAAATAAAAAAATTCTGTTTAAAAGTCATTTAACAGTGATCCCCAACCTTTTTGGCACCAGGGACCGGTTTCATGGAAGACAATTTTCTATGGAACCAGGTTGAAGGAGGTGGTTTGGGGATGATTCAAGGGCATTACATTTATTGTTCATTATTTCTATTATTATTACACATATATATTATTAATATATATATTAATATATAATCAAATGATTATACAATTCACCATAATTCAGAATCAGCGGGAGCCCTGAGCTTTATCTTTACCTGTATGGTAAGTCCTAAAATTGGGTAGTGTGAATCCTCCAAATTTTTTTTTTCTCAGAATTCTTCTGACTACTCTAGGTTCTCCGTATTTCCGTACGAATTTTACAATCAGCTTGTAAATTTCTACCACACACACACACACACACAAAAAGAAAGTTTGCTGGCTTTCGTTTTGATTGGCATTGTGCTAAATCTGTGGATCAATGTGCGGAAAAGTGACATCTTAGCAATATCGAGTTTTCTGACCTAAGAACACAGCATATCTCTCCCTTTGTTTGGGTGGTCCTTTCAATTTCCCTCTGCAATGTATTTTTAGTTTTCGTGTATAGTTCTTGCATGTATTTATAAAATGTATAAGTATTTCATATTTTTGATGCTATTGTAAATGGCATTTTTATTTTGAGTTCCAGTTCATTGCTAGAATATAGAAATACAGGTTTTTGTACTTCTGTATTAGTACAGGTTTTTGTATTCTGTATCAGTATATAGAAATACTGATTTTTGTATATCAGTCTTATACCTTGTGACTTTTGTTTAATTTACTTATTAGTTCTAGTAGCTTTACTATATATTTCTTAGGATTTTTCTACATAGACAATCATGTCTTTTTGAATGAAATCAGTTTTACTTATTCTGTTCTAATCTCTATGGCTTTAATTTCCCTTTCTTGCCTTATTGCCCTGGCTAGAACCAGTTCAAGGTTGAAGCAAGTGGTGACAATGGACATCCTTATCTTCTTCTTGTACTTAGGGAAAACACTCAGCCTTTGAGTATGATGTTAGCGGAGGTATTTCATAGATCCCATGTAGAGAATAAATATTTTTAACTTGGTATATTGCTGCCCACATCTATTTGAGGTTTTTCTAGAAAAGAAGGGGGAGTGGATATAGGCATCCACTATGGGAAAGGTGTTTCCTCATGTGTTCAGCTCTTAGCTGTGTGATGATTTACTAGGAAACAGAGGTATCTTGTCAGTAGAGGCTTTCGGTGTGGGTTGTTGTTTACATTACATGTGATCATACATCTTTATAAATAGTATGTTTGGGAGGGGCAGGTTTTGCCAGGGAACTAACTCACCCTCAGTCCATTGGGAGGCAGTGTAGCCCGTGGTTAGGAGTGTGGGTTTAGGGGAGTGTGGGCTTAGGAGCCTGGGCGCCTGGTCTGAACCCAGCTCTGCAACCTTAGGCAAGTTACTGAACCTTTCTGCGTCACAGTTTCCCACTTGCAAAATGAAGATAGCAATAAAACCTACCTCTGGGGCTTCTGAAGACTAAATGAGCAAATGGAATTAAGTGCTTAAAACAGTGCCTGCTGCCTGGTGCATTTTAAGAAGGACTCAGTTTGCATAAGGCTATATTTACACACTGATTCTTAGTAGCAGGTTTATTGCCCAAAGTAAAGCACAACCATATCATTTTTAAAATCTTCTGGTCTGAAACCTCATATTAAGGTGTGTGTATATGTGTGTGTGTGTGTGTGTTTTTCTTAAGATGGGAGGGTTGATTTCTGCTGTTTTACAATATTGTTTGTGCAGTAAGTGAATTTTAAAATCTTGTGCATTGCATGGGCAATTATAGGGTTATGATTGTGGGCAGTGACCCTCGTGGAGTCTAACCCTGTCTCTACACTTGGAGGCCGATCTGGAGTTTGACCTTCTGATGTACTCGTTTTGATCACTTGACAGTGGGATGAACTGTGGCCCCAGCTCTGCTCCTGGGTCAGCCTAAGTGGGCGTATGGACCCCTGTGAAGCCCCCAGGTGGCTTCAGCCTATTATTTCCTGCCATTGAATCCTAATTCAAGGGGACAGAGGCTTCTCAGTCAGTTTCTTTCCTGGGCATCTGTTGCAGGAAAGCTGCCTTTCCATCAACATGCTCTGAGGCCTGGGTGCACTCCGTCCTGTCTGGGGTGGGTCTGGAACTGGGGTGGGGGCCGCTGCCAGCAGGGATGACGTTGCTGAGCCTACAGCAACACCATGATGTTGACATATAAGGAAAAGCACTTAGGAGCTGCTGGCAGGCCTTCAAGGGGCCTTTCCCCTTCACTTGAACTTGTTTTTTCTTTTTCCCTCCTACTTTCTGAGGGGTGCAGTCACAGCCCGCTCTGCAAAGGGCTGTCTGCAAGGTTTTCCCACATGAAGTCCTTTTCTCAGCCAGGTTCTGCATTGTCCAGCTGGTTGTCTGTCCCTGGTTTTCTCCTGAGCAGACCAGTGAAAAATTTACTCTACACACTGAATTTTTTTAAAAAATTGAAAAGTACCCTCAATTCTATTTGCCCACATCTGCACAGCATTTTATTCTTCTCTGCCTCCCATGCAATGTTGGGGAGCAGTCAGTGCGTGATTAGGAGAACCTGCCCACCAGGGTTTCCTGACATTATCCTGTACAGTGTGATAGATAGAGTTTTGGCACGTCTTTCCAGAATTTCCAGGAGCGTTTGGCCAGCTCCTGTCCTCCCCTGCCAAGAATGTTCCACAGGCTGTTCTCTGAGAGTCGCATGCCTTTGCTACACCTTTTCGGCTGTAATTGTGGCACCGATGCAGAGAGAGATGGATGCAGGGACTGAGGCAGACATTATCCTCTTTCTCGACTGTCGAGAGATGCCCTGGTTAGGTGAGGAACCCAAGGCACATATGACATTGTCCTCCAAACCGTGCCCGCTGCCCCAGGTGATCGTCCTGAATTATACATGGGTAGAGGCTTTCTGCAGCGCTTGTTTTCCACTGGAGCACAAAGCGCTCTGTTACAGGAGGGATTTGACACAGCGGGTCCTCCAGGCCCTGCAGAAACTGCAGAGCTACGGGGAAACAGGTTACTTTCCAGCTGAGAGGGCTCACCAGGGTGTGAGTTTAAAACAAATGGGAAGCAGAGACATCGAGTGTAACTTTCTATTTGAGTGTTATTTCCTTGAGCACACACAAAAATTACTAAACGTTTAAATATCAAACCATTAGGTTTTCGAAACAAAGAAAGGCAAGAAGGAACAAAGAAAAATCAGAAGTGCCAAATTTAACTGTCTTCTCTGGTCAGATAAGAATCTGCCTTTCGAGCCTCCCAAGCGACTGTAACTACTAATTTTGTGATTCAGCAGCTTTTTTCTTCTCCGTGTATCCTCTTCATTCTTATTTCACTCCAGTTCTATTTCCTCATTTCCCTCCAACTAGAAAACACAAAGCAAAAACAACAACAAAAAAGACTCCCTTTGTTAGAGCGATGGGAAGACCCCATCTCACACAGAGTAGACCCACAAAAGCTGTTCGCTAGATGAACAAATGATGTCACCTTACTGTGGCTTCTGTTTCTACGTTAATCACACGTGGCGACCACCCAGTGCCAGTTCTTGAGAGGTAACAGACATCCCAGAAACACTGTGAAAACAAGTGGAAGCACGGCCACAATGGAAGGGAGGAAGGACGGGAGGAGGGCTGGTTGGGTTGGGGGTGAGATCCACGTAGTTAGTTCTGGGATTTTGCATCCTTCGGGCAGTGAGTGACCCGGTTAGAACAGCCTCACTTTTCTGTTCTCGTGCCTTCCCCTTCATGTCGTTTCCTCGCATGTCTGCCGCCTCTCAGGAATTGGCAACGGGCAGCCCCGCGTTTGATATGTGTGAGGAATTAGTGTAAACTTGGAAACTGGACTCGCGGTACGTGCGTGACATTTACTCACGGAACAAGTTGCTTTTGCTGCTCACAGAGGCCAGCGCCGTCATGCCCGTGCTTAACGTGGTGTTAAACACTTGGGTATTTGCCATCTGTCTTGCTGCTAAGGTCAGTTCTTTCAGAGTATCACCAAGCGGTGTTTTTCTTCTGTCAATCTGACAGGTGATGACCAAGAAGGAGGACTTTTTCAGTGCCTGGAACTCGTGCCTGCACCACGTGGCTTCCCTGTCTCTGGCGCACACTCACCGAGGTCAGTGGCTCCTGTTGAATGTTTGTGATTGAGCGAGTCAGGGGCCTGCGGGGCATCGGGAAGCACAACTCTGCAGAGAAAGGACAGTCACCACACCAGCCTGAGGCCTCATGTTGAATTCAGGGCCCCCGATAACTTACAGAGACTTAAAGCTTGTGGCAAATCAACTCTCAACTAGCCAGGAACACTGACCGAGTGACGCCGCCAAGCCCGGCGCTAAACCCGTCAGGAACAGCTCACCTAATACAACCCGACAGTCGCAAATGGCACCAGACGGGAGCCAGTTGGCAAAACCCCGGCCTCTCAGAAGTGGCTGTCTCTGCCCAACAATGCCCGTCATTCCTAAATAAGCAAATGGGAGGTGCGTACACAGATAGAGTAGGCGTGTTTTAATAGGGCCACGGCCTGAAGAATTTTAAGTACCAGAACTACTTAAACCTAACCCTCCAGTTAGCAAGAAACTGGGTCAGCCTTTTAAAATAGTGGTCCTCAACCGGGGCGGTTTTGCCCTCTAGGGGACATATGGCGATGTCTGGAGACATCTTTGGTCGTCGCGCTGGCAGGGGCCGTGCTGCTGGTGCGTAGCGGGCAGAAGCCGAGCACGCTGCTGAGTACCGTAGCCTACGCGGGCCGGTCCCCCACGGCAGACTTCCCCAGCCCAAAATGTCAATAATGCTGAGATTGACAAACCCGAATATTCATTTTGGCCTCAATAGACCAAAACAACAAAATGAAACATTGAAAACCAAGGAAGATCCGTGACAGATTATCATAGAAATTGTTATTTAATCATTGCTTTATTTATCATCATGTCCTTACTATGTAGGGGGAAAGTATTAAAAGAGGAGGTCAGGTGCTTGCTGAGCTGGTTTGCTGTGTGGGTTTTCTATCACACAGGGTCCCTGCTGACCCCCAGAGGGCCAGCTTTGGTGACCACTGCAGCTTGCATCTTTGGGTAGCATCTCATGGGGTGGGGATACAGCCTCTTTGATAAGGTCTGTTAAGGGTCAGGGTAGATGTTAATATTATGGCCAGGAACCCAGGCATGCCTGCATCTGACCCAGCTGTCCAGCCTGGCCACACCCTCCCTCCCCAACCAGGCAGTTCCAAAAGAACAAAGTGCCACATGATTAAAAGCTGCAGGAATGCCTGGGCCCCTCCCCAGAGCTCAGATGAGAGCTGGATTGGAGTTGAGTGGTTTGAGCACAGACAGATCTTGGCCCCTTCCATCTGTCTAAGGACCAGCTCTTGGGACCTTGCACCCTTGGGTGAGCATCCTAACATAGGGTTCAAGAGTAAGGGCTGGGTAAGTGAGAATGTGCTGAGAGCACAGGTTCCTCATGGGGACAGGAAGCAGGAGCCCCACAGGAACACCACCCCAGAGACCAGCCTTTGTACTGAACCCCCGGAATTACTGTGGCCACGTTAGCCAGCCTTCCTGATTCTGATTGAGCTCCACCCTCTGCTCTCTGGGATGCAGGAGAGGAGCATCAGTGACAGAGTGGAAGGTCCCTCCCCTGGGGGTCTTTAGGTACAAGATTGGGTTCCCTCATTGGCAGATCCAGAAACTTTAATTTATTGCACACCCCCGGTGTCTCAGGCTCAGGGAAATTGACTCATCTTAATCAAACTCAAAAGTGGCTAATATATAAATCTGAATGCCAGTTTATTCATCACAAATTAAAATCCAACAGGTGAATTATCCTGACATGCCCTATCTCTTCTATGGGCAACTCTCCATATAGAATCCAATTATAATTAGGAGGCTGCAGCAGGTCGCACCGTCTGGACGGCTCGTGCCCTCCGGCCTGGCTGGAGACCTGAGTGTCCACTGTGACCTGCTCCAGATCCTGGAGTCCACAGGGCCTCTACTTCCCTGGACTATTTTGGTGCACTTAGCACCAGCCTCACCACTTTAAGAAATTTATATGAACCAGCCCTCTTTGTTGGTCAGTTATTTTTTCGGATTTCTTGATCACGCTGAAACTTATCTGGGACATGAAATAGCACTCAAGACACCCTTTCTGAAGGCGAGCATGTCTCAGGCCTTCCCGTCCACTGTGTGTAGACTTGTGCTGGCTTCACTCTCAGGGGTGCCGTGGCCCAGGTGCTGGGGTCCCTTCCTCTGGGTCCCTGGGTACTGACCTCAGATATCACCCATCCTGGGACATGAGACTGAACCATATGGACTCCAGGTATAAAGCTTCTAAACATTCCGAGATGTGATTAAGTTGGAAGGGGGGCGGGCAGTCAAAGAAACATTAAAGTTCAGCCTCAAGCCACTCAGCCTGTTTATTTATAGCATAATGGAGCTTTGTGTGAGGATTGAACATGTGGGCTCTGGAGTCAGGGTATCTGGGTTCAGATCCTGACTTTACCTTACCGGCTGTGTGATGGTGAGTGAGTTACTCAACCTCTCTGAGTTTCAGTTTCTCCCTCATTTATAAAATGTAGATATTATGCTATTTATTTCATGGGGCTATTGGAAGGATTAAATGAGAGAATGCTCCAAAGCTCTTACTTTAGCATCTGACTCATTGTTAGCATTCAACAATAACAACAAAAAAAATTATTACTGTTAATTAATCACCACTCAATGAAAACCTTAGTTCCCAAAGCCAAAGTAGAGTGTTTTGAGCCTTGTTCCTTGAAAGGAAAAAAATAGAGGAAGATGAAACAGGTTAAGTCTGAACGTAGGAGGTCTTAACACCAGGAGGAAACATCAAAGATTTAATGTTGCCACAGCACAAAAGGAGTCCAGATTGATTCCGAACATTTTTATGGGTTTATATCCACAGTAGCAAAAGTGATTGTGTTCAGGAAATTGGCTTCAGGTTCAATGCCAGGTAAAGAGGATTTGGACTTATAAAGTAACAGAGGAAAAAATAGTAAGAATTAGTTCAATGACAGAATTTAGAAATAGAGAAATCCATATATGACGAGGGGGTCTGTACAGACGCAGGACGGGCCCTGAGATAAGAAAGTACTGAGCACACACTAGCCAGGAAGAATTTCGTCAATGTGTCATTACATTCAAATAGCATGTACCCCTCTGGCAGGGGTCTCCAGGGGATGGGAGAAGAGGCAGAAGGAGCCCATCTGTCTTCGGTGACTGGGCCCAGATGTTGCCTTCAGAGACTTTCAAAGGAAGATCACCTAGGAAGGAAGAGAAGGATCAGTCTGTTAAAATACAGACCTTAATGTCACCCCAGATGAAAATGAACTCAGAATCTAGCCATTTTTATTAGGAACAAATGGAAAAAAAGTCTTCTGGCATCTGTATTCGTTTGTCACCTGAAGACTAGGGAAAACCATGTTTGAAATAAAAATGTTAAGTAGTCTCTAGTGGTTTCTGTAGTGGGATGTAACCATTACAATGATAAATCGTTATTTTTCTGTGATACACATTTTTATCTTGCCCTAGAAATAGCAGTTCTGAAGCTTGGTGCTGTATGAACCCCTAAGGGTGTCCCAATTCCTAAACAAAAAGGGAGAAACTAAGCACTTTTATTAAATAAATTGCATCCACCATTTTCCAGCTCTGTGCAGAACTGTCTCTTTTCTCATTCTCAAAGCCTGTGAGTCGTTCTCATTATGCAGCAGGAAGTCCCTTTTCTGGTTCTTAATAAAGTGACTAATAATTTAGAATGTTCACATTAAGAGCAGGTTGTAATTATAATTAGAATATATAATAGTGTGGATTTCTGCCTATCGAGGATTAATTTCAGACTCCTCTCAAGGATGTATTTGTTTCAGAACAAGACTTTCTTTGTTAATAAAAACATGATCACATGCATTATTAAAGCATTATTTCTGTATCTTATCCATTAGCACTTGTTCCAGTATTCTTCATGGGATCAGCATTTTCCTCCCAATTCTTAATGGGGCTATTCTTTATACAAATGACATTCACCTTGATTTAGTTTTAACTTTGGCATTCATCTTCTAGGAAATTATGGGAATATACTTGCCACCTCCTTGAATGTACATTACATTCTGCAAGCTCAGAAAAGGAAAATGCCACAGCGTTAACCAGGGTTCCTGTGCAAATCTGAATACTTGTCCCCTTACACTCAACTAAAACCCTGAGTCCTCTCAGCAGAAGGGCAGACCTGACCTGGGGTGGAGCCAGAAGTTGCAAGTCAGGGCTGCTTCTTCTTTGACTGATGGGCTTCTGCAATGTTTTGCTGATACTACTGGAGGTGGAGGCCTGGGGACGTGGGCATGAGGGGGAGGAGCAGAGGTGCCATGTCAATAGTGACACCTGTGTTCCTCCTCTCCCACTGGCACCCATGTGCTGGAGGGATGAGTCTCAGTGTGGCCCCATGCAGGTGGCCTGAGGGAGGGAGGGAGCCCCAGGCACTCCCTTTGTCTCACACCCATCAAGTGTGTGGGTGGTGGAAGCCAGCAAGGCCGTCTAGGTCTAGTGAGCAGAGAACCGGCAGATGCAATTCGCTGCCCGATCCCAGCAGGCCCCAACACTGGGGAAGAGTAGGAATGTCCTTGGCTTTGGTTTTTCCATCCTAGTCACACGGCTGAATCCTAGACCTCTGAGCAGTGCCTGTGAGCAACAGGTGCACGTGGGAGTTGAGGGTCACCTTTCACAGAGTGCACCGTGGCTAGGAGCAGCGGGAGGGAAGCTTGCATGTTCTGCCAGAGTCAAGGGGGTCCAGGGACCCCTGGTCTCTGATGCCGGAAGTCTGGAAACCTAGAAGCTGGTAAGATTATGAGGGGAAACAGAAGTGAGAACTTGCCTTCTGACTACACCCGCACAATACTGCCTCAGGCTAGAGCGAGGAAGGTGGCAGTCACAAGGAAGTGTGAAAAAGGCCCCTAGTGAAACAGAGACTGCTGGAAGCAGAAACGTGGGGGCATTTCATGCTAACACCAAGCATGGCTCTTACCAAAAAAAAAAGATGAGGAAAAAATTTGACTGAACCTGAAGCATTGCAGTCGTAAACATTTGGCAGAGCATGCAACTTTGCCAGTTGGATTTTAAT